AAATTTTTAAAAGAGCGGTCGCATTTGTGTTTAAACGTTCATTTTCAGAGCCACATTGATATAAATCAGTATTATGAGCGATTTTTATCAAACTTTTGTCATCGTAAGACTCAGATACTTGCTATCGATAATGCGAATTTCATATTCATACCTCCTTTAGTTTGATCGAAATAAATGTATTAAAGAAAGAGCGCATTTTTGTAAAAACATCTATTTTCAGAGCCGCGTTTACGACGCTGGCAAAATCAAGAAAACGAAAAAAGAAAAAACATCTTTTACAAAAAATATTTTTATGAAACGTTTATCAACCCTTGAAATTGCTTCCCGACGTTTCGATCACATCTCCGGTAAACATTATCGGAGGCGATGAGGTAACAGTAGAAGTTGTAATCCGTGTTTCAATACCATGACTTTATCTTTTGAGGCTTCTAAGCCGGATAGACAATAGTACACACTTAAATCTGAGCATTGCAACATTTTGCTGATGTTTAAGCGCGGGACTGCAAATAAAAGTTTTCATCCAAGGCGCGCGCTCTTTTAAAAAATTCTAAACTACTAATCTGGAACAAGCTCGAGGTGCACAAGAACTTGAAAGACACTTGAACCTGAACATCGAGAAATTTTATTTTAAATTGCACTAAATCATAATTTTTTCTTATATCTAAGCAAGCCTCTAAAATGGAATGATTCCAGATACGCCAAAAAAAATTCGTAACTTCTAATTTTGGGGGTTAATAGTTCCAACAAACTTAATAGTTCTACAGAATATAGGACAGACCTGAATATAAACATCGCAAAATTATCTTCCTGTTTAAACGCGAGTCTACAAATAATTGTTTACATGCAAGGCGCTCTTTTTTTATAAATTTGTAAAAACTGATCTGGAGTAACGAACTTGAAATTTTTATCAAAAATAAAAGATATTTGAATCTCACAATAGCGAAATCTTGTTTGAGTTAGTCACTACTAATCTGGGGCAAGTCTAATCTTGACGATTTCACGCGATTTAGTAGATGCTTTTACTAAAATTTTCTTGAAAATGGTTCTTAATCCTGAATTTCTTTCTGCTGTTTAAGCGGGGGTATATAAATGAAAATATCCAATCAAAGCTCGTTTTTTTTCAAATTTGCAATTTCTCATCTGGGAAAAGTACGTACAAAAATTTTTCTTAAAGTATAACATACACAATTCACAAATTCGCATTAAATTCTCAATTATTCTGAGGTTTAACGCGGGTATAAAAATCAATGCTTTTAGCAAACCCCTGCTCTCTTAAAAAAAATTGTATCTACTACTCTGGAACAAGTATAAACTTGATAGTTGCACAGAATGTAGTAGGGGCTCGAATATAAACATCGCGAAGTTCTGATTGAAGTTGTTGCTGTTGTACGAGGGTCTGTAAATAAACGTTTCCAGTCAAGATGCACTTCTTGTAAATAATCGAAAACGTATGAAGTTGAAACTTTCACATAATAAAACACACAGTTGACTCTAAACATCGGTAAATTATCATAGAAATAGTTCTCAATGATGATTTTTTCTTCAAATAAACGTTTCCTGTCAGAGCGCGCTTTTTCTCAAGATTTATAACTTCTAATCTGGTGCAAGTACAAACCTGAAATTTTCACAAGGTGTAACAGGTACTTTAATCTAAACATTGAGAAATTTGCATTGAATCCTCATTTCTTCTGACGTTTATCCGCGGGTCTAAAAATAAATCCTTCCATTCGAGGCGCGCTCTGTTTCAAAATTCGTAACTATTAATCTGAGACAAGTACAAACTTGCTAGGTGTACAAGTTGTAGTAGACGCTTCTATATGAATATCTCTGAATATCTCCAAATTCTCTATAAAACTGTTCTCAATGCTGATTTTTTCTGCCGTTTAAACTGGAATCTTAAAATTGTTTTCAACCAAAAGCGCGCTCTCAACTTCATTACTACTAATCTGAGGCAAGTACAAACTGGAAAGATGCACGAGGTATACTAGATACTTGAATATAAACATCAGCTTACACATTCAGCTTCGTCTTCGACAAAGTGAAGTATATCCTTGTGTTTAGAAAAAAACGTAGACAAAATTAATATGGTGCGACCTTAAATTTAATTTCAAAGTTAGAAATGCTTAAATAAAGTTTGTTCTTTGCAGTTTATTGGCAAATATTGCAGTCAATATCTGTAATATTTAATTGAATATTAAACAGAAAAACCAACCTTATATTATTTTTTCATTTTGATGTTCCACTTGTTCATACAGCTTGCTTTTTATTTTTAATATTGTTTACAATTAAGGGTGAAATTATTAAAATTGTTTTCTTAATAATTTTTTCCGGCAAATATTGCAAATCTAATTAATTTAGTAGAAATATATATTAATGACCGTGAAGAATAATTTAATTAATTTTGTACCATAAAAGAATTAGTTAAAAATTGTATCAAATAATTTAGCGTCTTTTCACAAAACTCTGGACGTTTCAGGAGTCATTGGCGGCATATTCGCGCACATAAATATCCAATTATTTTCCATTGGCTTTATCTGGGTGCAAACTTGAGAAATTTTACGACCATGAACAACAATGACATTCCATCAGGTACACATCATTAGTACTTCACATAAAACATCGGTACGCATAACTTTATAATAATATGAGCAAAAAAAATCTGCGAAAAGCGTCTAATAAATCTGCTTGTGTGATAGGGAGCCAATGTAGGAGTAAAAATTATGGCTTTTATAATTATGATACAGGCTTTTATTATCATGGAAAAAATTTAATAATTTCCCTTGTTTAACACCTAAAAGCAATATAACAAACGACACAGTAATTGCCCCTTTTGAATCGCCCGCAGTCTATTTAGAATCAAGTAGATTTTTGTATCTATCAGGAAAGCTGCAATCACGTTCCATTAAGTCATATTTTATCCCCCATACAAGCCATATTATTTCTTCGGAAATGTCGAATCATTTTCCTATCATTAATATCTACTATAATAGAGCTATGCGATTTTATAGATGAATTAAATATAAATACTATAAATAATCCGTACAGCAATAGGTGATGTTGAGATGAAAATAATGAAATAAGAAGAAAAATAGTAAAATCGACACAAAAAAAACACACTGTAAATGAGCAACTTGTGCATTTAATAAAGTTTCAATAAAGTTGTAATACTTATTGTGAATTTTTCAAGTTACAATCTAGGTGAATTATTTAACTGTCCTTATAGCAAAAACTTGGAAACACTTAAATACTTTCAATTCCTCTAAATAGCGATTCTGCAAAGATGCTCTTTAGATTTTAATCAGAAGCCACGACGACATTCCGTATCACATAATTAAAACATTTGTTATGTACGAGTTTAGAATTAATGGTGCTGTGGCTGTTGTAATGTGCACCATTTACAACAGCCACAGCTTTTTGGCTTGATGGTTTTATTTGTGGATATAAATTATCTTTCTTGAAACGAGAGGCAGAACTGAATATTAAATTATGATTCCTCAGATTGAATGATCAACTATTATGAACTCGTAATCTCATTCCATTCAGTCGGTTCTGTGTGGGATTTTTTACATGATAATTTATATTACGCGGCTAACTGTATTCATTTTACATTTGTATTGACTATTTTTCTGATTAATTTCTTCAATTTGCCTTTGTAGATAGAATAAGATCATTCAGAGACATTTGTATACATACCGTGCCGCAAATTAACGCTTAGTTTAAATATTCTCCAACTTTTCAATTAATAATTGCTCAGTAGGTGATCCGATTTGAACAATTGTTATCGAATCATAGCTCTATTTTTTGACAAACATTAAGTTATAACATAAGCAAAGAAAATTAAATAAACGTGTTCTACAGGGTGTTTAAATACTGTTATGTTTGTCAAAGTTTAACTGTTTCTGTGGTCAATTTGGGATATCCCAGAGAGCCAAAAATAGTATACGATCTTATAACCTCATGTCTTCTGAGGAATTTAAAATTTTAATCGTTTGTTTACCCTGAGCCACTCAAAATATATTAAAAAATTTATGACCGGTTACACAAACTTTACTTAATTACAACTTTTTTTATGTGCTAAGAAAATTCCTGGAAAAATAGCTGTGGGAACAGCATTTCATTATAAGCTGATAATTCTGTTTATTTTGCTATTGTTTAAGCTCTGTTAATTAAGTTGTTAAAGTTTTGTTTCCCTATTCAGCCTTACATGTTTAAATACATTTCGTGCAGAAAATGTGATGCCCATAAAAAAAATGAATATTTCCGAAATGGCTCAAGGCAAACAGATGGTGAACCATCCAAATTACTCAAAATACATAAGACAACATATACTTTTCTTCTGTCTGAGCTACTCGCTATTTCCCGCAGACGAATTTAAAATTTGACCAAGCAAGCACATCAGTATTACAACACCCTGTACAATATGTTTAAGACATGTTTTTGCCTTTTTTATAAATAAAATGTACTCAATAATAGAGCGATTCGATAAAAAAATTGTTTACTAATGAGAAAATATTTACTATCAAAAGTTTAAGAATATTTATGTAATGGATAAATAAAGGTTCTATAGAATATTAAAAATATATTATGTAAAAATGATATTATTAGATTATAAGATGCTGTCTAGTATTCAAAAACACATTAACACTTAATTCTTCCTCACTATGCCACTAGGGAGGTAATTATGCCCATAACACACCTAAGATAATATAAAACGTCTGATATAATGAAGTGTCTCCTTGTAAAGGGCCCGGTGTTGCTTATTCCTATTGAAAGTAAAAAAGAAGCACATGAGTACTTTTTTGTGAAAAAACTTGTTTGCTGAGATCTTGAGCATTTGTTAAAGAAATGTTATCCACTTTGACATAATTGGAATGGTTTGTGCTAAACCCCGAAGCGTGACGACCGCTATCAAAAAGTGTTCTAATCGTGACAAAACCAACAATAAGACACTCTCGAGCCAGAGTGCCGTGAGAATTGCAAAAGAGAAAAATAACTGCTAATGCCCATTCAGTCTAAGTAGGCTAGGAAGACAAGTGAATCATTCCGCCAAGTTCTCTTAGCTCGCGCCATCATTTTGAATTCAACTGTTTTAGCGCTCGGCCAACCGTGATATTTTGCGCGTCTCATTTTACGGATTAGCACTCTTGATTTATGAAAGTTTCATCAAAAAAATTCTAATTTTGAAGATGACATGATACTTAAAGCCTATTGGACTGTTTTGGTAATCGTCTTTATCGGCCTTACGGTGTATTTCAACATTTCAACCCTTTTGGTGGTAGATGAAGAAAAGAATTTGGCCGTGAAACCACTCGTGTTACCAGTGAAAAAAATCATGGCTTATTCGTTCAATAAGCAAATTGAACTTGACGGAAAAGAGTTTGTGTGTGAAAATAGGTTTTCAAAAAACAATGCAAGTGGTCTAAATGAAGCGAAATTTTGGTCAAAAGTGGCTGATATGGAAGTTTATGTCACTTCAGTTACCTTGGATGAGAGACTAGAACCATATAGTTATTTGAGAATAGTTGGAGCTATGAAAGGTGAGCATTGCATTTGATAACTATTTAAATGTATGTTTGCTTTGTTTTTGATGTTATGGCGCTTATATGTATTTTGATTGGGCCACCCTGTATATGGCTGTGCAAACCCAGAAACCAGCCTCGGGTTCATGCTACATTATTTCATAATTTGCCTCATATTAGCAAAAAGTCATAATAAATTTCAATTTTTTTTAAATATAGCACTTAAGGAGGAATATTAAGGATTTTTGGTAGTCAGAATTTCTTTTGATAACTCTTAAATTTATGGATTTGTGGTATATGAATGCCTTTAGTGTGTTTTAGAACTTTTGTCTTTCTTTCATTGTCTAATTAAAAGAAACTCGAAGAGAATAAATTTCCTCATAACTAATTATGATAAATTCAAGCGTCATTAAAGGCTTTAAGCGTTCATTGGATATCCATTAATGTGTAATGGATAATCTTCTTGTAAGTCAAGCTCTATATCCTGCCGTCGTATTTTCAATCCTCAGATTCATCAAAAGATACGCATTTCCGTAATTTTTTGTCTTTCTATACATCATATAAAATTAATAATACTGAATGTCGTTTTAGATGCATTTAGCTTCATTTATTTTAAAACAGTTTGCAATCATTGCGTGGAAAATCACAAGATATTATTATTTATGTCAATTGCAAATGATAGCTAATTCTCTAATCGCAGAATTCACGATGGTTCTTTTCTCCAAGAATTCCGTGGCCTTTGCCGGAAAATATTAACTTTAATAACATAATGATCGACGTATGGTTCTTATATAAACTGAGAGAAGACGTCGAAGCTGATTAAGTGAGATTTAAAAAATACTTTCGCAACTATTTGGAAAGGAATTTTTCAATACATTAATGAACATACTGAAGACATTAAAAAGCAGGAGAATCAATTTTGTAATTAAAACGTTACAATTCCGTAGACAATATATTAATTTAAAAATAATATCGATTTTTTTTCATTTCTAAGTCCAGTTTTCTACTGGCTCGCATTTGCCGCCATTATACACGAACGACATTATTTACAGGGGCAACAAAACAGTAAAAACTAGTCTTCTCAATATAGACATCCAAAAAAAAACTTTAAATAGGGCTCTTCATTTACAAGACTCATTTCCGATATTGTTATTAGCTGATGTAAACTTTATACCGTATAATTTCAGATATAATCGATAATCGTGCATAATTTAGAATCCAACGCTCCTTATTGTTAATTTTAGACGTCTCAGTGTTAAAACTTAAATTGGCTTTTATACTAGAGTTTACTCTGCGCGCGTCCATTATTCGCAAAAGGAAGAAATCGAACGATTAAATCGGAAATTATAAAACTAATGCCTCTATCTGAAGAATTAATCTCGACTTGCAGCCTGCTATTATTTGAAACCTATTATAAACTCAACCGTCTTTTATTGTTATGTAACAGAATGATGTTGGTATGTACTATGAGAAAAGTTGTGAGATAAATTGGAAATTTTCGAGGAATCTCTAGTTATACTGCTTGAAAATTGTGTTTTTTTGACTGGTTTTTTACCTAAATGATATTTTTAAATAACATTTTTCTGTGATCAGTAAGTACCAAGAGTTACTGACGCTAAAAGCTTTTTTTGAGGCTTCACAGCTTGAAGTAGAATTTTCGTTGTTCCTCAGTTTCATTCAATTTTCAAGAAGTTTGTAGCCAAAAGTAGGGTATTTCTTCAAAGCCTAACGTCTTCTGCTCGAAGATGCATCATAAACATTTTTTTACGTTCCTTATACTTTTTGCCAATTATTCATCTCAATTGCGATCACTGTGCTGGATCCGACAACTTCGGCTTAATCTACGCATCTAAACTGCATTACACAACATATTAATTAATCTACTTTGGCAGCGGAGCTAATTTGCAATTCTGCATCGATATATTAGCATTTTAATACATTGTTATAGGCCATCGACCAACAGAAAAATTTATAAATAATTGAGTGCGGACAAACACGAACTCAGATTAACCAGATTTCAGCTGCATACAATTTTCATTGGCTTTTCAGTTCTTGTCAATACTTTTGGCATTTAAACTAATTCTATGTATCCTATCGACTTGGAGGTGTGTTTCTACACGGATTAGAAGCCGGAAACTTTTTTCTGTCTTTTTTTTGTTTCTCACTTACAGCCCTTGCACATTTTAAATTGTGCTTCTGTATCAAAAACCTTTAAACTGAATTAATTACATTGATTTTGTTAGTTATATTTCTAATAATACATTTTTCTTTCGAGAATTTTGATAATCAACCGGAGTATCTAACATCTATTTAGAATAAAATTAGATGACGTCTTGAGTTTTCTTATATTTGCCAAGTCGCTTTTTTTAGCAGTAACCGCACTAGTAAATGTTTTCCAGAAATTGCCTTTTGTTTCCTGTTTAAACCATTTATTCTGACAAAAACACAAAAAAATTGCGTCAATAACGATTCATTTAAAAAATAATTTCGTGTCGTTCACCATTAATCTGTAGATGTTCATTCGGCTGTATTGCCATAATATCCATTTGCACACATTTTGCTATTTTTTTTTACTATTTTGCTCAAAATTTTCAGCTTTAACGAAAAACAATTGTGTTCTGAAAAGCTAAATATTTTTTTGCATTTACTCATTGACACTGTATATATTGTATGCTGTATAATTCGTATATTAAAAGCTGAAAATGTCAGGAAAATAATAAGTAAAATTGCCCCACCACTTTTTCCTAATCAAAAATATTGCTTGTCTATTTCTTAATTGAAACATTATTCATTTCGTCCCTTTATAGTTTTTGGGATGTTCTTGATGACTTATTTATCGTTGGTTTCTACTTTTTTCTCTAAATTTATTTTCATCATGCCTTCAGTATTCTGTGTTTTGATGGTATAATTTTTGTTCCACTTTTCATTCGTCTAAATCTGTTCTATTCTATGAAATTCATTTCTTAATTTTTTGTTAATGTGTCTTTTTCCGATTTTTTCTTTTCAAATCACCGAAAAAATTGCAGAGCAAATTAGGCTATGGGATGCAAACGAGCATAGGAGGAAATTGAACAAATACGAAAAACGCCTTTGAATTTTTTGTTTATTTTGGACTAAAAAAATACAGAATTGAAATATGAAAATAATGATACCTTCATAAATCGTTCTCTTGAAGTACAACCTGGTCTAAACATAAATTTTAGATACATTTAAGTTTAGACGGGAACGACTGATATAAACGTGCCCTGGCATGAGTATTCGCATTTCGAGAATTCTTACACATGTCCTTTATGCGTTGCAAGACAATAATCATTAAAGCCAGACACAAAGACCTTCTGTATAATTTAGAATCATTATCTAAAAAACACACATACAACTAATGACTAATTATATATTCTTTTTATTCACTTAATGTTCATATAATTGCAATCGACAATTTCGAGGTGGCAGATCGACAATGTTGAGCTCGCCAAGTACTTTAATTTCCTTGATGGATATCTTGGAGAGATATTACTTGGCATTTTGATTTCTATCAAGTTCAATTTGCGTGTAATGCAATGTAATAAACGGACTGGGATCAGAAAACAGTAAGGAACGAATCGGGTTCTTCAGTCGGCATATTTCGATTTGTCTGTCCATTACGTAATCTATGAATCTCTTTTCGAGTACCTACATAGTGAAATTGATGTGAACGCTATGTGGAATTCTAGCGATAAATTGAAATCAATGTTTGGCAAAGCAGGCAAATAGATTAGTTTTATTACTGTTAATCTAAGGCTTGAAAGAAACATGAAAAATATATTAAATTTAATCATAAAAAGGTTGAATAAAATCAAAAAATCAAGTTTGCATTCGCTTAATGATCACTGAGTTTTCTGATTGGAAAGCAAGAAACCTTTAATGGGTAATGCCGTGGAAATCAAGGTAATAACTTGCTGATTTTTATTGAGTCGCCCAAGTACTACTCTTTAACGATGCAACTTGCACATAAACATATATCATTTAGAATACAATAATGATTAGATTGAAAGGAAAAGTTTATGGTTGCAGATGGGTCGCGATACCTTTTATAGAAGCAGGATAAATACGCGAGGATAAGTAAAACACAGCTGGACAGGCATTAGTTTATGAACGATTACATTATAATATTAATAAAATGATGGGAAACATACGTTCGCAAAATTTTACATGTTGCATTTATAAATTAAAAAAAAAATTACTTGTAAACTGACTGAGCTGAATGGAATGGAATAGAATGGTTTTATGATTACGATTTTTTAATTGACGAGCTAACAGTGAAATAGTCGAAATGCTTTCTTTCGTTTGTAGCTGTTTCGTTTGTACTTTATAAAATCATAAGGCCCTTAAAAATGGTGTAAAGTCAGGTATGATGAGCGCAAATGAAAAATTTAAATCTCACTATTTCTACTAAATATTAGCATACATCAATTATTATTTAAATAAAAAGGACTATTTCCTGATTGGTATGTGGAGTGTCTCCAATTATGTCTTCAGTTGTTCATTTAAGTTCATTGATTTTTTGTACTTTTTTACGTTTTTTCGATTTACTTTCTTCCTGATGGAGTAAAAGTGTAGATACAGACTGGTAAAGTATTATTTATTGAATTTTTCACTTGGTTCAGTTATTAGTAAATAAATATCTGACTATTTAGATGGCAGTAAAAATAAATTAGCAAGTTCATCTTTTTTTGAATGTTAAATTCCTTCTTATTCGGAATTTTACACTCCTGAAACCTGACCTCGGAATGAGTGCATAGTGCAGAAGTCCAAATTTATTTTTTCTTTTAATTTTTTTAAAACATAATAATATAATTTTCTTGTAACTCAAAAATATGCACATCAAATATATTTGTTAAACTTGATTTTTAGGTAGTTGGAATGCAACATTGTACTGTCAGATTTCGACCAACGATGATAACGTCCGAATTATTAAATCTACCGTTACGCCCATATGGTACGAGAAATGGGACATGAATGACAATAACACTTATTACAATCCCGTTTTGATATCCTGCAGGTATTTGTTTATTATTCTTCCTATTGCAGTATTTACAGTTTAAAATACAAACGACTCGATGGAATTGAAATACGTTTTCCAAGTCTTCAAGATGATTCGCATCATTAATCTTCCACATATTCCGATGGATTCTAATGAGCGATTAAGTAATGGCATTTACGACGACCAGAACGTTTGGAACTCTATTATGGCAATTAGTAATTTTTTTTCCGTTTTAGGCTGCCGGGATTTATAAACAGTTCCAAACCGACATCAGTGGCTCTATCTAAAAATCCTTGCCAATCTTCTCACAAGTATTTGGAGATAGCAAAACCGAAAGTTATCAGAAAACTGAATTTTACATTGTGCGTAAAACCACTTAATTTCGCCCAGGATATTTCTGGGCATTTAGTGGAATGGATTGAGATGTCCAGAATACTTGGAGCACAGTATTTTCACATATTTGTACAAAATGTTACCAAAAGCACCAGACGACTATTGAAATGGTAAGTTTCTTTTTTTCCCTTACATTGTTTAAATTGTGCTGTTTTTTTATTTTATTGGACCTGGAGAGGTTCAGCTAGCGGAAAGATTGTAGGAATAAAGTTCAAATTCAGTTTTTGCTCAGTTTTGTTCATCTATTATATATATACAGGGTTGCTCATTAGTGCGTCAAAGTGCGATATCTCAGTAAATATGAACTTTACAAGAAAATACGTCCTACGAAAGTTTTTCA